GAGGCAGGCAAGGGTGGCCTCGCCCTGTAAAGCAGACCCCAGACCAACTGCATGGCGGCTTCTGGCTGGGCAGGTATCCGCCGCACTGGCCATATCGGCACCACAGCCTCCCCAGATCTGGCTCTAGATCCTATATAACTAAGGCAGCTGCAGAGTGCATGCAGCACCGCGCTTAGGACCCGCGAGCCTGCACCGGGCGTCGAGTTGACGATCGGGGAGGGAGACGACACGACGATATACTGGTACTGATGTCATCTTAAGGGGAGGGAGGGCCTCAACGGCCGTGCAGAGCCAGGCTGCACGTCTACTCTGCTGGGCATTGGTCTTATGCCTTCTTGACGGAGGAGAAACGAAAGAATGGAGGAGGTGGAGGAGAAGAACACGAGTAAACCCAAGAGGCATCAGCGCGCTGTAACACACCCTCCCGTAAGTCCCCTCCTCATAAGTCCCTGCAAGCCTCCCTGTTCACTATAAGAAGCGTACCTTTGAAAGACCAGCACCCTATGGGCCTTCCACTCAAGCGAGAGCCCCCCTTCAACTGCAGTGCGTCCTTCGAACTCCTCATCAGGAATTCGAAAAGGTGAATGATCATACAGTTCAGTGGGGGATCCAGCGAGATCCCGGTTTTGAAAAGGGCCACCCCAAACCGCTTGATGTTTGCACGAGGTCTACACTTCTGGTCATGAACGTCGAAGACGTCTCAAGCGATAGCCCTGTGTTGAAAAGGAATCGCCCTCCATCCGAGCAGCTGCTGCGAATGGTGACGCTTCTGGTCCATAGGTTTGAAGAAGTCTCCAGCGAGAGCCGTTTTCATCCATATACGGCACAAAAAAGCGACCTGGGTTCCATCCCTGTAGTCGCTGGACAAAGTTACGACGAACATGTGCGGCGCTAAAGCAAGAGGCCCATCCTGTGATGGTTTCATGTTTGTTTACATCGGACGTGCACGGCCCTTAAGCGAGGGCACCATTCTGAAAAGGCACCGCCATCCATCCTTGCAACTACTGAATACCGTTAAGACGAATGTGCGCGGCGCCAAGGCGGAAGTCCCGTTTCGAAAACGACCTCTGCCGAATCCTTGCAACTGATGCAAGCATTTGAAACGACTGTGCGCGGCGCGAAAGCGGCAGCACCATTTCGAAAATGATGTATGCTCCATCCGTGTAACTGCTGCGAATCTACAACTTCAGGATCATGAGTAGAGGGGGGTCTTAAGCAAGACGCCCGGCCGGCCCTACCGAAACGTCTAGGGGTGCGTCTGGAAGGAGTTGTCTATGAGGGTAAGAGGTGATAGAGGAGGGCACCAACTATACAACTAGACAGATACTTGCAAGGACCATCCTGGGCCCAGGGTCGGTGTAGACGTCCTACCGGCTTGGGCAGGAAGGCACATACACCGATCCAGGGGCCAAGACTGGCCCCACCGGGATCGATGCAGGTGCATAATCAGATGGTGCCATCCGAGAGTCCCCCTCCAACCGAGGAAGACGAAGGGCCGAGGAGAGGCCCAAACCGAGGAAAACCCGAACTGGAACCACGGGCCTTCGCCTTGTGGAGCGTGAAGTGGTCCTGGTTGCTCGGCCTGGAGGCCACGGCGTCGGGGCCCTCGTCCGGGTCGAGAATCCAGTTCTCGGGAGTGGCCCGCCGACCCGAGGGCCCACGGCTCTCGAGACCATGGGGGGGGGGGCCACGGCGACGACGACGACGCCCTTGCCCGGGCTGTGCTCCAGACCCCCGACTGTGCTCCAGGCCCCTGGCCAGCCGCCGCCCCTGGCCGCCCGAAGCGCGAGCGGCCGCCCAGGGGCCGAATGCCGCTCGGGGGGCACAAGACGGAAACGTGCCCGAAGGGCCTGAGGGCCTCCACTCCGCCACGCGTCGGGGATGGACAGAACCCCCTTTGGAGAAACGTGCTTTGGTGAAAGCGACCTCGAGCCCAAACCTGGCGGGCGCAAGCCTGGAAAATGACGGCCGCGACGCCCTCTCGAAAACCGAAAACGGACAGTTCACTAATCGACGTGTCAGGGTGGGGGTTCTGTCCACCCCCGAACGCGGCCCAGAGTACCCTCGCGGTCGGCAGTCCGGCCACTCGGTCCGGGCAGCACGCGATCGAGAAGTCCACCGCGAGATTCGGCTGCATTTTGAGGCAGCGAGGAAGGCAAGTTAGTCTGAATGCGCGACCCGTCCACTTCGGGGGGGGAACGAGCGAGGGTTCAAGGCGAAGGCGGGAAACGTCGCATCAACAGCAAGCGTGTGGGGCATGAACGACTTCGCCCCGATAGCAAGCTCGGCTTCCTCTAACACGACCCGACGCGTTGGCAGGGGCCCTGGGAGACTCCGACGCACATCGACGACGACGAAGCCTCCCCTGCGAGCCCGGGAAAGGCGCCAGCCCCCGAGATGAGGGTGTCCAGCAGCTCCCTCCAGCTCTCGGGGCTCAGGTCTCCCAGGAAGCGCGAGAAGGCCTGGACGCCGGGGTCCCGTCGGGCTAAGACCACAGCCACCGTCCCTCGTTCCGCCTCCTGTCCTCCTGCATCCCTGCGGTCCACCCTCCAAAAACCAACGGCTCCCCTCATCTATCCTCCCCCATTCCGCCCCCCTGCCCGTCGTCCCCTCGCTCCTCGCTTCATTCCCGCTACCACTCCCGCAACTGCTGCTGTTGCGGCTGCTGCTACTGCTGCTGCTAGATGCTGATTCGGCGACCCTTTCTGCTCCTACTGCCGCCACTATCACTGCAACTAATACTGCTTCTGCTGAAATAATACTGCTTCTGCTGAAAATGCTGGTCCAATTACTGATACCGTCCCCTACCAGCGCGACACTCGGAACACAACGCTGCCAGCGTGCTGCCTACCCGGAGGGGAAGTCGCACACGGCATGGACCCTCCAGGACACGCCACGTCACCTTTTGGCATCAAGTGGAATCCCCTCGGGTCCCTTCGAGCTCTCTGCATTGAACATTTGTCATGCTCTCCAAGGGGTCCCACAGTCACACCCTGGAGCTCCTGGCGCTCGCGGGCGCTCTCGGGGGGCACCCCGCAAGCTCTTGCAACAAGCGGAAATCGGTGCAAGCCATGTGTGCTTCCATGCCTGCGGCCCTGGAGGGCGGAACACCGGCTGGCCCAAACTGGCCCCCCACGTTGGGCGTCGCTTACCGAGGGGGCAATCAGTGGGGGGGAGAAAGGTGCACATCTCGGGCCCCAAAGGCCCCCTTTCCTGCAGGACGTATTTTCTGCAGCCCTTGCTGCCCCCCCGATTGATCGCCACCCCCACTGCGCGAAGCCCAATCAAGGGACATCAAGAAGCATTCGGAAGGACCCTGGCCCACAGCCGAAGGCCACTAATTCCGCCGCCCCCTGTTGGCGTGCCACAGGGATGCCCGGCATACTGGACGTTCTGAAAGGTTCTTGGTTCTTTTAGAACCCCTCAGGCCTTCGGCACAGCGCGCCGGCTGCCTGTCTCGTCGGCTTTTTAGCTTAAGATGGCCCCAAGATGACCCCCAAGACGGCCAAGATGCCTCCAAGACGGCCAACATGGCCCCAAGAGAGCCCAAGATAGACTCAATATTGCCTCCAGGACGGTCCCAAGATGCCTCAAAGAGCGCCAGGATGGTCCAAGGCGGTAAAAGAAGGGCCCAAGAGACCCCGAAGCTGGCCCTACAGGCCTCCAAGGGGAGGCCAGAAAAGTCCAAAATCATTGATACCCCTTGGATTTTCAAAAAATGTGGCATTTGCGTCTTGTCGACCTTCCGACAGCACGAGACGGCCCCTGAGGCCCCCAAGATCGCCCCACGATGGCCCCAAAGGCCTCCAAAATGACCCCATGACAGTCCAAGAAGCCTCCAAGACGGCTCCAAGAGGGCGCCAAGACGGCCCAAGAGGCCAAAGACGCCCAAGATGGCCTCCAAGACGGCAATGAAGCGCCCCAAGACGGACTCCGACGGCGTCAGACGAGCCACGAACGCCGCAAGGCAGCCCAATAGGCCCCCAAGAATCCGGAGGAGGAGGAGGAGGGGTAGGAGGAGCAGGAGGAGGAGGAGGAGGAGGAGGAGGAGGAGGGGGACAAGGAGGAGGAGGACCAGTGTAAACCCAAGAGTCATCAACGATGTTGGAGTAAACCCTCCCTCCAAGCTCCCTCTTCATTGGCCCCTACAACGGTTCATTTCCATTGATGGAACTGCCTCATTGGAAGACACCCGTTTGAAGACCCTGAAGCATGCCAAAACATTGTTCTCGGGATTCCAACGCCACGGATCAACCTGACGGTTGCGTCTTGACGATCGTGAATTGTGCCAGAACGCCATTCCTAGAAGATCAACATAAAGAATCAACGTAACTGTTGCACCCGCATAATCCTACATCCTTCCAAAACACCATTTCTGGTACGCTGATGATGGGAATCCGTGAAACTCTTGAAAATGTTGTAAACGTGTGTGCGCGGCGCTAAAGCGAGAGCCACAATTTGAAAAGGAACCGCCCTCAATCCGAGAAATTCTTGCACATTTCAAAACGAATGTGCGTCATGCTACGGCGAGAGCCACATTTTACGAACCACTCGCCCTCAACCCGTGAAACTCTGGCAAATGTTTAAAACGAATGCGCGCGGCGCTAAAGCGAGAGCCAAAGTATGAAAACGATCCGCCCTCAATCCGTGAAACTCCTCGCAAATTGTTCAAACGAAGGTGCGCGGCGCTAAGACGAGAGCCACATGTTGAAGACGACCCGCCCTCAACCCGTGAAACTCTTGCAAATGTTCAAAGTGAATGTGCGCCGCACCAAGGCGAGAGCCATATTTTGAAAGCGGCCCGCCCTCCATCTGTGAAACTGTTGCCAATTTGTTCAAGTTTCAGAGTCATAGGTGGTGAGGATGTCTCAGGCGAAACGCCTGGCCCGCCCTAAAAACTGGCCTCGGGGTGCGACAGGGAGAAGTTACTCATAAGGAAAAGGAACGGAGGAGGAGGAGGACGACGAGGGGGAGAAGGAGGTGGAGGAGGAGGAGGATGAGGAGGATATCGCTCCAAGCCCCTGGCGGATGCGCCAGCGAGGCTTCGCGGCGGCGCATCGCGCGCTCGGCCCGGCAACCGCAGGCGAGCAGCGCCCGGATACGCCCGACGGGACGGCGCCAGCGGTCAGCCCGAGCGGTTTGCTCGAGCGGCGCGGGTGCCCAGGTGAGCGACGAACAGAAATCTAGTTCACCCAACTTCGCGCATCGCGCCCTCGCGCCCTCGCGCCCTCGCGCCGCCCCTCCTGGGGAGGAGCGCCTCTCCAGCCTAGGCCGCGACGCTCGAAGCCTGCCATCTTCGCGCCCCTGGAGGTGACCTCGGACACAGGCCTTGAGCAAGACGGCCCGGCGGCCTCACGCCAGCGGGCCCACGCGGCGGTCCACCAGCGAGGCAGACCGCGTGGAGAAGAGGGCGCCTACGCGCGACACTGCGTGGGAAGCTCACGCGCGGAATGTCGGCGCAGCTTGGAGGCCTGGAAATGGGTACCAGCACCAAGACAGGGGGCTGCCTCCACAGGGGGGAGTTGATCCCAGATTTCGGTGTTTTGGTGGCAATGTTTCGGCCACCTTGGAAGCCAGAAAATATTACCACCATCACCGAGATCGGGATTGTCTGCCAACGGTGGAGGAACACCGTCGATCGGGGATGGACAGACCTCCCTTTAGTAAAACGTGGTTTAGTGAAAACGACTTCGGGCCCAAACCTGGCGGGCGCAAGCCTGGAAAATAACGGCCGCGGCGCCCTCTCGAAAACCGAAAACGGACAATTCACTAATCGACGTGTCACTATTGGGGGTTCTGTCCACCCCCGAGTCGATATTGGTGCTGGTGTCAACCTCGAGGCCTGCGAGCAGCCGACCCGTTCTCCCGTCGCTCGGGTGAGCCAGCCGCCTGCCCGTCCACGGGCGAGGGGAGCGCGGGGCCCCGCCGGCGGGGACGTCGGCCGGAGGGAGGCGCTCGGGAGAGGCCCTCCTGGCGTCGGTGCAGTAAGGCAGCCTCCCAACCCAAGCGGGAGGGAGGAGGACGAGGAGGGAGGAGGACGAGGAGGAGGAGGAGGAGGAGGAGGAGGAGGAGGGGGAGGAGGAGGATGAGGACCAGTGTAAACCCAAGACTCATCAACGATGCTGAATAGACCCTCCCTCCAAGCGCCCTCCTCATGGGCACATACAGGCATCCACTTCCGCTGAGGGAAGGGGTCCGTTCCTGAGGCGTGCCAAAACACCATTCTCGGGACATCGGAGCCACGAATCAACATGACTGTTGCGAATTGACGATCCTGAGTCGTGGCAGAATACCGTTCCTGGGACACCAGCACCGCGAATCAACGTAACTGTTGCGCCCTAAGACTCTTGCATCCCTTAACATCTAAAACAGTTTCTGCAACGCTAAACATGATATTCCGTGAAACTCTTGCACATATTAATAGCGAATGTGCGCGGCGCTGAAACGAAAACCACAGTTTGGAAAACTCCCACCCTCAATCCGTGAAACTTTTGAAAACGAATGCGCGCGGCGCTCAAGCGAGAAGCACATCTTGAAAGCGGCCCGCCCTCCATCTGCGAAACTTGCCAATTTTCAAGCTGCAGGATCAAAGATGGTAAAGCATCTCAGGCGAAACGCCCGGGCCGCCCTAAAGACTGGCCTCGGGGTGCGACAGGGAGGAGTTGTATATGTCTATGTATCTATCTGTCTATAAAGATATGTACAGGAAAGGAAATGGGGGAGCAGGACCATCAACAACCATGAGGGAAGCCGAAGACGGAAGTGCAGGCCAACCTTTCCGGCCAAGCAGGAGGAGGATGAGAGGGATGAAGGGGCCCCAGGACACACAAATAAATGCACACAAACAAAAAGATGTCCCACATTTTCCCATATTTTCTGGGTTTCTGCCTTCCCCCCCCCCACTTCCCATATTTTCCCATATATTTTCCTGGGAATCGAGGATTCATTGTGTCTGTGTGTTTTTTCCCTTCCCGAAGGGAGGCACGGCAGGGTTCACCTCCACTGCCGCAGTTTTCTCCTGACAGGGGAGCCGTCCTCCCGGGGCCGCCGTCCCCGCTCATCGGGGCCCTCGCGAGGAGGGGTCGGGCAGGCCTCTGGGCCCGGAGGGGGTCTGTGCATCCCCGGCCCGAGCACTCGAAAAAAGTCGCGCCGCCGGCAGGCGGCGGCAAAAGAAGACTTAAGGAGCCACACGCGAACCCTGCCCCGACCCCCCACGATTTCTGGGGGGGCGGGCGGGGTTCGCTCCGCTCGGGAGCTCCAGAGCGAAGTGAGCCCCACCCTCCCCCTCAGAAATCGTGGGGGGTAGGGGTAGGGTTCGCATGTGGCCCCCCATGAGGAAGCAGGAGGGGACCGACGAGAAACAAAAGAGGAGGGGGGGAAGGAGGGGGAGGAGGAGGGTAGGAAGAGGAGGAGGAGGAGGAGGAGGAGGAGGAGGAGGAGGAGGAGGGGGAGGAGGGGGAGGAGGGGGAGAAGGAGGGGGAGAAGGAGGAGAGGCACGCTTTTGGAACGTTTTACACAGCGCAGCGTACAGGTGGCGGACGACCGAACCGCCCGTCACGTCCGTGCCTGCAGACCGCAGGCACGCCCTGCACCTTCGGGCCCCTCCGAACGGAGGGTGCGGAAGGTGCGCAGCTAAGAAAATCCGCCGACCCTGTCGGCGTGTGCGAGGGGCTTGGCTGTTCGAGTCGTCGTCTCCGTCGGTCGTCACCTCCGTCGTCCCCTTTCCCCGCAGCTTCCTTCTCAAGCTCGTGAGCGAGAGAAAAATCTAGCAGTGTCGTAATCGAGTCGAAGGGAAGCCATTCAGGGTCGGCGGCACCGGCCGTAAGGCCTTCGCAATCATGTTCATGCCGTCTTTCTTTTTCGATTCCATGGGAGGCTCGCGTTTTCCTCCTCCTTGGCCTGCTCGCCAAGCACGGCTCGTCGTGCACGTCATCTGCGCTCCGCGATGCAAGGCTGCGGGTGGCGGCACGACCTGGCGACCGCGTGCACCCCGTGCGCTCCACCCCACGCCACCGCGGCAAGCATTATGCAAGCGGAACAGAGCGCGGAGCGGCGAGAGAATGGCCGCGCCAGCGCCAGTGCCATTCAGTGCCGCCAGGTGTTCTAGGGGGGCACACTGAAGCTAGAATGACCTTGAAGGAGAAGGAGGAGGAGGTGGAGGAGGAGATGGAGCGTTCCAGCAACTGCGATCCGACCGCCACCGGCTGTCGAAGGAACGAGGTCGCACCCCCTCATATAATCCCACAAGCCGTCTGGGCGTAGGTGGTCTATCGAGTTCTTTCTTTCCTCTTCCACAACCCCCCCTTCTTCCCCTTCGGGGAGGGGATTTACACCTCCCCCGACCCATCCTAGGGGTCTGGATGGGAGGACGGGGGTGTCCGGGGTTCCATGTTTCGTCCAAGATAGCTCCAAGAGGGCCTCCGATGCTCCAAGATGGTTTCCAATGTGGCTCAAGATAGCCGAAGATGGTTCCAGATAGCTTCCGACATACCTTCAAGAGGCCCCCAGATGGTCACAAGACGGCTCCAAGTACTCTCATGGCCGCCCAAGGATGCCCACAAGAGTCCGAAGGCTTTCAAGAACGTCAGGAAAATATATGAAATGTGCCTTCTCGTTTTTCCGCGTCCGATGGGCTTCTGAAGCCTCAAGATGGCCCCAAGATGACCCAAGATGGCCCCATAGGGGCCCAAGAGGCCCCCAAGACGGCTCCTAAAGCGCCCAAGCGGGCCCCAAGAGACGATTTTGAGGGCTCTCCCTTGCCTCCCCTTGGCCTCCAAGACGGCCCCAAGAGGCCACCCAGGGATCTCAACACAAGAGGTCCAAGAGGGCTCCATGACCCCCCAAACGAGCCACAAGAGGGCCCGAGAGGGCCCCGAGAGGGCCCCAAGTGGATCCCAAGAGAGCCTCAAGAAGATCAGATCTCATCGGCAGCGTTTCTGAATGGGCTGGTGGGGGTACGCGAAGGGTGAGGAATAAACTCAAAGAAGGAGTACAGAGCGGCAAGAACATAGAGAAGGACTGTGGCCAACAAGCCGGATCCGCGGAGTCGACGCCGCACTGCAAAGTCACAGCACCGAAGACAGAGTAGAAAACCAAGCGCATCAATCCACATCTGATTCTGGCGGTTGATCCAACGAAAGGCCGATCCAAGACGGCAGAACCTAATCAGGTGGGAGTTCCAGCAACTCATGAACGAGAGTATCGACGACTGCGTCGTTAAATTTGCCATAGTCGGTGGGCGCCGGACGCTGTTCAATCCCAGCAGGGCCAGACACTGGCGAGCGAAGACCGCCTGCAGTCCTCGGCCGAGAGGTAGACACCTCATCGATCGTACGGCCCCATGGATGGTCGATCACATAATCACGGCGATGGCATGCCCGACCGGACTTGCAGACACCAGCGCCAGGCGCTGCCCGCGGAAGCCAGAGCTGCTCGAAAGCACCCGCAGAGCTGGAACCGTGAGCTGATCAAGGCGAGACTTCAGAGAAACCAGCTGATCCTCGAACTTCACGCGCCCACCTTCTATGCTCGAAATCATGTCGTCAAATCGCTTCTCGAAGCAATGATTATTCATGCGCATCGATTGGGGTTAAGACCATCATCGGTTTCTCCTCTACGACCGGAACAAATGCAAGCAAGACAGACTCAATAATCTTCGGCGCCACGGTCTGGACTGTCCCGCGGAGCATGCCTCCAGGCTCGCGGTAAGTTGGGACTCTGGGCATGCCTCCCACCCTCCAGCTCGTATACCTGTTGCTGAAGACCGTCAAGCCGAGAGTGAGGAGGAGGAGGAAGAAGAGGAAGAGGAGGAAGTGCAAGAGGACGATGAGGGGGAGGGGGAATAGAGAGCCAGACAGGGGAGAAGAGAGGCGCGAGGAGGAAGGAGGGGGAGGAGGAGAGATGAGAAAAGACATGGAAAAAGGAGGCCAGACAGAGAGAGAGAGAGAAGGACCCAGCGGTGCCGCCAGGGGGCGCCCCTCTGCAGGCAGCAGGCCCAGACCTCGGAAGACCCGACTCGGCCAGGCCAGCATCTCCACCGGGCCGCTGCTCAGCGCCCCGGGGACCCGCACCCGGCCCCCTCGACGCCGAGCACGGCGAGAAGCCCTCGGCGCAGAGCCCTCGAGCCGCTGGAGGTCTGGGAGAACGAGGCACCTCTTCGGCACTGGGGTTGAGTCGGGCCTGTCCCCCTACCGGTGGATTTTCGATGAAAAATGAAAAAAAGATACCCCAAAAACACCCCAAGAAGGCCAACAAATATGCAAAAGATACTCCCCAGACTACTTTGGGGCTATTTTTGTTACTACGTGTTGGGGGATTTTTTTACTTTTCGTCGAAAATTCCCCCCGTATGGGGGACAGGCCCGACTTCACACGGAGGGGGGGGGGCGGGGGCGCGCCCACCTGCCGCGCGCGCCTGCTGGCTCAGAGGGCGCCGGCGCGCTCGCTCTCTGGCGCGGCCCGGGCTCGGGGTGCCCGCGAGGGGCCCGGCCCGGGCCGCGCCCTCACCCGCGCCGCGCCGGCGCCGGCCACGGCAGCGCGCCAGGCACGCCCGGGGGGGGGGGCGGCCCACGTCGCGCGCCATCGAGGAGCCCCGGGCGTGGCGCCGACCGAGCGTGGAGGGAGAGCGAGGGCATTTTCGACCCCCGAGCCCTGAAGCAGGAGGGTGCCGGACATCCCCCGAGCAGTGCTTGCACTTGGGGGTCTCTACTCGGGGGCGGCCAAGAGGGGGGCGTCCAGGAGGGGGGGGTGCAAATCATGACCGGCGGCACGTGCGCGGCCCGGGGGCGGGGGGCTGGGGACGTCATGAAATAAGAAGAGGCGCCATGAAATCTGAGGAAATATCATGGCCCACGCCATGATATCCACCCCCCCCTAGTCTAGGGGGAAAACAAACCTACCTCGCTTTTGACCACCCTCGCTTCCAAGAGATGCCAAACGATGCCAAATTGCAGCCTGTGCTGGTCAGGCCGCTTGACGAGGAGGCGCGTGGTATGGCTTGGTTTTGCCTGGAAGCGAAAGCGGGGTAGGTAATTCACGCTCTGAGGAAGAGCTGGCCCTGGAGGACAGGGTCGGGCGTTGCCAGAAGGTCCTGGCCCGGGGTGCTCCCAGCTTTTCGCGCCACTTCGGGGCCTCTGGGGCCCTCTGGGCCTCGTGAGGGGTGCTCTGGAAGCCATCTGCGCCTCCCTGGGAAAGCTGGGGTCATCCTGGGCCAGGGTCACCTCTAGCAACACTCGGCAAGGAGTCCCGAAAATTGTTCCCACGCTTTCGAGGACCCTGAGGCCCTCAACGGGGCCTGGGGCCGTCAACAGACGGCGCAGGATGAAGACTTAGTCCTGCTGAGAGCCGCTGGGGTCCAGGACCCGTTTCTCTTAGAGCCCGCTTCCTGTGGCGACCACAGCCGCCGCCGTTTCCGCTGAGAGCGTCAGCCTGAAGACGGCCCTCCATCACTGCTCCGTCTTGATAGACATCAACTCCCACCACTCAACAGGCTGCCGACCAGGAACCATGATCGCCCCTCCCCCACACCATCCCTGCCAAAGGAAGAGCAATGCAAAATGCGCATGACTACTGAACCATGACAGCACACCCCGTTTTCACTTTGCACTGGCGTTTCAAAAGGATGACAGGGAAAGCGTATTTGTTCGCTGTGTGCTCGACCACTGTCCGCATCAAAAGCACACACGACATAACACTGCCGCACGTGGCGCACTCTGCGCGCGTCGCGCACGTGGCGCAACTTGCGCAGCTGGGGCATGTGGCGCACGTGGAGCAAGCGGTGCATCTGGCGCGCCCGCCACGCTGAGGCCCCTGGGGCATATGGCGCACCTAGTGCGCGTGGCCCCCCAGGCACGAGTGGCGCACCTCGCTAGCGTCGCGCACACGACGCCTGCATTGGTTCCCAGTGATTGTCCACCCGATGGCAGCCTCTGCCTACGCTGAGCCTCGGGGGTCTCGGATGCTCATCCCACTCATGCTCGTTTTCATCCTTCTCCAACTCACGCATGCTCCCCCTCGTCCTCCCAATTATCATTATCCTCTCGCCGTCATCATCACCATTAGCATCAGCAGCAGCATCATCATCAGCATCATCATCATCATCATCATCATCATCATCATCATCATCATCATCATCATCAACAACAACAACAACAACAACAACAACAACAACAACAACAACAACAACAACAACAACAACAACAACAACAACAACAACAACAACAACAACAACAACAACAACAACAACAACAACAACAACAACAACAACATCATCAGTATCATCATCATCACCACCACCAGCACCAGCATCACCATCACCACCACCATCATCCTCACTCCTCATCATCCCACCTCATCATCTTCATGTATTGTTCTGGTGTCATCCTTCCCTGCTTCACCCTCCCGCCCCTGTCCTTCCCTGCCCCCATTGCCCCTGCCCGGACGACATTCTGCTCACGTAGCGCTGTGCCGCTTCCTCCTCAGTAGCTCGCGTCGACCAGTGCCACGCGGACGGCCGCGCTGGAGATGGCGCTCCGCAGAGCCCGAGACCAAGGGCCAGCTGAGCGACGAAACGAAACGGGTCTTACGCGAGACGAGACAGCGACCTTACGCGGTGGCTTACGCGGGCCGCCAGCGTGGCAGACCGCGTGGAGAGCGCTTACGCGCGACTTTACGTGGGCGGCTTGCTCGCGCGAACGTCTGCGCAGTCGAACTCGTTTTCCTGCGTCGCTCAGCAAGGGCTCCCAGCTTCGCGCTTCGCGCTCCGCGAAGCGCGAAGCGCGAATAACTTCGCGCTCTCGCGCCGCCCCCCCAAAGGGAGAATAGGAGGACGAGGAGGAGGGGGAGAAGGAACGAGGACCGCGAAGCGCGAAGCGCGAATAACTTCGCGCCCTCGAGGGAGCCCTTGCTCAGCCGCTGGTCTTCGGCGAACCGCGGCGCCGCCGAGGGGTCCTCGATGGCGCAGGGAGGGCTACTGGGGGGCCAGCAGGCCGGCCACCTCCGGCAGCAGCACGACGGCCGCGGTCGGGGCGAGGGCCACGAGGAGGCCCTGGGCGTTGAACTCCTGGACCTTCGCGCGGAGCCTCAGCGCCACGCTGTCGTCCTGGAGGGAAAAGAAAGGCGTACGGCAGGTTCGCGTCGTGCCGACCCCAGCGTTGGTTTCTGACACCGCGGGGATCGTTCAACCTTGAACGATCGGCCGTTTCCGCAACGTCCAATCGTTCAACATCGATCGATTCTGGGCCGCCGCCGGCGTTCAAAGTTGAACGCCGCTGGCGGGGTCGCCGCCGGTCGACACGACACGAACCTACCGTAAACATGATTCCTCGGAGGTCCGCGCGGATTTCTTGGATCGGCGCTGGATCCCCCTCCCTGGCGCGCGGAGCTCCCAAGAGGTGGTCACCAAGGGCTGAAGGCGGAACACTTCCTGGGGACAAAAGTCTTGCTCGCCGGAGGCCAAAAAATTTGCCTCTGGTGAGCCCACTGCCCTCAGTGGAGATCTTCACCTTGAGAAGGCTCTGATTTCAGCAAAAACAAAGCTGTCTGAGCTCTGCGAAAATTTCCTGGATCCACGCTGGACACTTCCTGGCGCATCCAGCGCAGCAGGGGCGGCGCTGGAGACGCCGCCAGGGGGGCCCAGCGCCGATCCAAGAAATCCCACGCGGATCTAAGAGAATTACGTTCATGCCATTGTTCTTCTTCGATTCAGTGGGGGGCTCGCTTTCTTCTCCTCCTTGGCCTGCTCCGTGCAGAGATCCGAGAAAGCATGTGTGTGCCATTATTCCTTTGTTCGACGTCCTCAATCTTCTGCATGCCGGTCCCGTCGACGTCCCACAGGCCGGACTGCCCGATGTTTCAGAGGCCCTCCTGGCCCGACAGGTACAGGCCACCCGTCAGGAAGAAGAAGGGCAGGACGGCCACGCGGCTGGTCCAGGGGGCGCCGGTGAGGAGGAGGAAGGCGCAGAAGGCCGCACTGAGCACCGCCATGGGGACTGCCAAGGTCCGCCGCCGCTCACGCTCCTCCTGCGGGGTGTGTGCGAGCGGTCGACCCTCACAGGGTCGAGACAGGGGGGCTCGCCCCGCTTCCCTCGGGCTCGTTCCCCCTGCGCGTTCCTCCCTTGACCTCCTTTCCACCTTCCACGCTCCTGTCCCTGCTGATCCGCTTCCCCTCCCCACCTTCCTCCTTCCACCTTCCTCCTTTCCACATTCCACTTCTCCACCCCTGTGTCCAGCCTTCCCTCTTCCCTCCTCTTTCCCTCGTACTCGCATCACCACCATCAAGAATCAGAATCATCATCGTTATCGGCGTCCTCGTCGTCGTCGTCGTCATCGTCAGCATCACCACCACCACCATCATCAACAACAGCAGTATCGGCCTTATTCGACATGACTATAGTCAGTCTCGCATGTCCATCCTCATCCTCATCATCATAGTCATAGTCTTCCTCATCGTCATATCACCACCAGTACCATGGTCATCATCACCACCAGCATCATCACCACCATAATCAGAATCAGCAGCGTCATGATCATCGCCATCAGAATGATCATACGCGTCGGGCTCATCACCAACTTCATCAGATTAATCACCTTCCTCCGCAACCATAATCAGCAGTATCATCATCATCATCATCATCATCATCATCATCATCATCATCATCATCATCATCATCATCATCATCATCATCATCAATCATCATCGTCGTCGTCGTCGTCATCATCATCATCATCATCATCATCATCATCATCATCAGCAACATCATCCTAATCCGTATCATCATCAGCATCATCATCATCATCGTCATCGTCGTCATACTCGTCGTCCTCACCATGCTCATCATAGTCAAAATCATCAGCATCGCCATCATACTCAGCAGCAGCATCATCATCAGCATCAGCATCATCATCATTGACAACATCATCATCATCATCATCATCATCATCATCATCATCATCATCATCATCATCATCATCATCATCATCATCATTATTATTATCATTATTATTATGATTATTATTATTATTAGAATCGTCATCATGATCATCATCATCATCAGAATCGTCATCGTCATCGCCATAGTCATCGTCATCATCACCGTCGTCGTCATTGTCGTCGTCATTGTCATCGTCAACATAATCATGATCATCATACGCATCGTAAGCACAATCTCTCGCTCTATCGTTTCTCACTCTATCTTCCTTCTACTGATCAATATCACGTTCCTCCTCCTCTTGTCTTCTTCATGAACATCAACTCATCAACATGGAGAAGGTGGTGGTGGTAGTGGATGGCGAGGGTGGCGTGGAGGTGGGCAAGGAGGCGGCGGAGGAGGAAGAGGATGCGGCGCAGGAGGAGATGGAGGAAAACACGGGTGATGCCGATGATGATGCTGATGATGATGATGATGATGATAAAAACGATGACGGTGACGATGACGATGACGATGACGATGATGACGATGATGATGAGGATGAGGATGATGATGATGATACCGATGATGATGCTGATGGTGATGTTGATGATAATGATAATGATAATGATGATGAGAATGATAATGATAATATTGATAGTGATAATGATAATGCTAATGACAACGATCATGATAATGATGATGATGATGGTGATGATGATGAGGAAGACGACGACGACGACGATGATGATGAGGATGAGGATGAGGATGAGGATGAGGATGAGGATGAGGATGAGGATGAGGATGAGGATGAGGATGAGGATGAGGATGAGGATGAGGATGAGGATGAGGATGAGGATGAGGATGAGGAGGATGAGGAGGATGAGGATGAGGATGATGATGATGATGATGATGATGATGATGACGATGATGATGATGATGATGATGATGATGATGATGATGATGATGATGATGATGATGATGATGATGATGATGATGATGATGATGATGATGACCGCAACCGCATCCGCGACCGCCTCTCCTCCTCCATACTCGAGACACCCTCCCTGCATGCCTCCCACCCCCCCTCCTCCCCCCTCCCCCTCTGCCAGCATCCTCGTCGATATTCACGAGGTCCCTCGCCGCCGCTGCCCTCAGCGCCTCCCGCCGGCGCTGGGCCTCGGGGCTCTGGTCCACCTCGCCCACGCTCTCCTCCAGCGTTGGCGGCGCGGGCGGGCGCGGCGTTGCCCCGCCCCCCGCGGCCCTCCATCCATCCCGCCCCTCCCTCCTCCACACGTGCCCCCCGTCCTCCCTCCTCCCCGACCCTCCCCCATCACGCCCCTGCCCTCCGCCCCCCCCGTCCCCAACCCTGCCTCCAGCCCCCCCCCCCCACCACCGCCCCCCGCCCTCCCCTCCCCACCACCAGTGCCCATCTGTCGCGGCTGCCGTCGCGCCCACTGCGCGGCCCCCCTGGAGAAGGGCACCTGTCCGCCCCAGGCCGCGACGCGCGAGGCGCGACTGGCTTGGCGCCCCCGCGGGCGACCTATGGAATGTCTGAAGAGGGTGCGACCACCGTGGCCCCCGCCTCCAAGAAGGGCCCACGCGGGGGCGGGGCGAGGGGCACGGCCTCCCACGAGGCCCCCGGCGAATGCCTGGAGTCCCCCAGCATCCGCCGCGACGCCGCAGGCGCCCTGGCCCCCCGACCCCATCATTGTCTGCCCCTCCTGTCCGCCCTTCCCCTCGTGTCCGCCGCCCCTCATGTCCGCCCCCACCCCCTCTTGTCCGCCCTTCCGCCCCCCACCCCCCGACCCCCCTTTTCGTCCGCCCCCTCCTTCATGACGCCCCACTTCACGCGCGAGCCCACGGCGCTGCCTCCGCCCGCAACGGGGCCGAAGTCGAACTCCACACCACCGCCCTCCTTGAGGCGCAGTGGCGGCCCGCCCTCCAGGGCCCTTGCAAGCGGATCGGAGAAGCCCGCCCTCGGAAGCGCCTGGAAGGGGGAGCGAGGGAGGAGCGAGGCGGGAACGGGGGCGACGAGGGAGGAAGGGGGGAACAGATCGACTCGGCGGGAGGAAGCGCCATGCTCCGCAGCGCTGTCTGGAGAGTGTGAAACTTGAGGCCCAAAAGCAACAGCGACAGTGCTCAAATCCCGCCCTGCCCAGCAGCCAAAAACTCCCGCGGCCTCAACCATCCACCCTGCCGGAGGGGGGAGGGGAGG